CGCGGGTGCGCCGAAGCGGGGGGGCCAGGAGGACGGCGGGAGGTGCGCCGCGTGGCCCGGGGGCCGGCTATGATACCCGCACGCCCCGAAGTAGTCTTCTCCCCCCTCGCCATCGCTCGGACGTCCATTCCCCATGCATGATTCGATGTCGGGCCTGTGTTTTTGTTGTCCGATGATCCAGGGCGCTCCTCGATGGTCCTCGCCGACATGACATGCACACGTCCGAGCGATGCCAAGCCCCCTCTTGGACGCACCCGCCCCCCTTCCTCGTCCCCCGGCGTTTTCGCACCACAGCTCGGGCCTCCGGCGGCCACTCGCGACGACCTGGGCATACCCGGGAAGCTCTCGACGAGGCCAGAGACCCTCTGGGAGCCAACGACCACTTCCTTCACCACTTCCCCTGCGACGACGAAAAAGTGATCACCCACCTCGCACGCCCCCTCCTCCCCCAGCACAAGCAACGTCAAAGGGGGATCACCACTACAAACTCGGGGGAGTTCTCTCCACACGCCAGACGCCGTGCCAACGCCGCGAGAAGATGTGGGCTTGCACCGTGTAGCTTGGACCACACAGCTTCCACCACAGACTGTGCATCACATTGCTTGCAAGGTGTAGCTTGCGACGACGTGGGTTTTTTCACCACGTAGCTTTTACCAACGTTTTCACCATATACACTGCCTGGATCAACGCAGCTTCCGCCACATACTTTGTACCACATTCCTTACACTACAAAGCGTGCGACGATGTGGGCTGGAACCACAGCCTTGGAACTATTGTGCGCTCTTCTCGGGCGGAGCCGCACCGGAACCGAACCAAACAGAGCAGTTTGCGGGGACGCCTCAAGCCAAGCCGCGCCGAAAGCAAGCCACGCCAGGCAACCTGTTAGGACGTCTCCGACGAAACAGCCCACAGAACCCGGGCCGCCCAGGAGCGCCCCTGGGCCTTGGGCGGCGGTCAGTTCACGCGAGGCTCCTCTTCCTCCTCCTCCTCCTCCTTGTCTGCGGGGCGCCCGGCTAAACCAAACCGAACCAGGCCAAGCTAGGGTTAAGTCGGGCGTGTCCCCCTACAGGGGCATTTTCGACGAACAAAATAACAAATACACCACCAAAAAGGTCAACAAATACAAAAAAATAATCCCCAGACTTTTTTTGGATTATTGTTTGACCATTTTTGGGGGTATCTTGTATTTTTCGTCGAAAATCCCCCTGCAGGGGGACAGGCCCGACTTAAAGCTAGGGGCCAAACCAGGCGAATTCCGAAGACGTCGCAGGCGAAACGCCCTCAATCAGGTTCCATCGCTCCATCCACTGACTCTCATGACATGCCATCGAGGTGGTGGATGGCCCCAGCGGTTCCCCCCGCATGGGGGTCCTGCAATTCAACTTTTATGGGGGAGAGGGAGCTTTCCAAAAGTGAGCGATCTTGGGGCGCAGCAGCATGCGTTGGTCTCCCGAGTGTCCTCGGGGCAACAGCGTCGCGTCAAGAGAACTTTTCCCGAAGCTGCGGGTGGTCGCCACCCTCCTCCAGGAAGCGGACCAGCCTGTGCCCCCCAGAGCCTTCCAGGACCCCCCAGCAAGGACCACCAGAACTGCCCCAGACCTCCTCGATCCTCGCTCCTCCTCGATCCTCGACTTGCAGGGGGAGCCAGTGCCACCCAAAAAACCTCCTCGATCCTCGATCCCTCCTCGCCGACCCTCGACTTGCAGGAGGAGCCAGTGACCCCCTCGGTGGTGACCCCCTTGGCATTGCACCTCTCCCCCCAGGTAGGAGGAGAGGAGGAGGAGGAGGAGGAGGAGGAGGAGGAGGAGGAGGAGGAGGAGGAGGAGGAGGAGGAGGAGGAGGAGGAGGAGGAGGAGGAGGAGGAGGAGGAGGAGAGGAGGAGGAGGAGGAGGAAGGAGGAGGAGCAGCAGGGGAGGAGGAGCAGAGGAGAGGAGCAGGAGGAGGAGGAGGGAGGAGGAGGAGGAGGAGGAGGGAGACGGGGGCAATGTGGCAAGCCCCGAAGGGGTCGAAGGGGGGAGGGGAGGGGAGGCGGGCCGAACGGGGGAAGCGCAGCCTCGAGGGGGCCGACGGGCACGTAGATGGGTCGAACGGGGGAGTGGGAGGGGAGAGGGGGGAGTGGGAGGGGAGGGGAGTGGGAGGGGAGAGGGGGGAGAGTGGGAGGGGAGAGGGGGGAGTGGGAGGGAAGCGAAGCCTCGAGGGGGGAGTGGGAGGGAGAGGGGGGCAATGGGGCAAGCTGGGCATGCTCGCGCCATATCTGACATCCCGCTGCAAACATCCCACGAAACACAGGACCGCCAAAATCCGGGACGCGCTCGTCAAAAGATGTCGGCAAACCCAAGTTCCGGCTTACTCGAGTCTTACGTTTCCCCGACCCATGCGCGACCCGCCTGCCCAGGGTGCCCCCTCCCCCGGGCAAGCGGAGGGCGCCCCGCCTTTGGTTTTGTGCCGAGACCCCTCCCGGGTGTGAGGAGCGCCTCGCCCCTGAGGATGCCTCGCCCCCGAGGAGCTCGGCCCTCCAGGCCAGCATGGGTCGAAGGAGGGCGCCCCGCCCCGGCTTGGTGCCGAGGCCTTCCCCCGGGTGTGAGGAGCGCCTCGGCCCCGAGGATGCCTCGCCCCCGAGGAGCTCGGCCCTCCAGGCCAGCATGGGTCGAAGGGGGGGGGGGTGTCCCTGGTCTGGGCCTCTCGGTGGTCTTGACGCACTGCTTCCACGCGGGGACGTTTCGGGCGTGCCGCTGGTGCACACGAGGCGCGTCTCTGGAGAGTTCGGGCAACAGTTCAGGCGTGCCGCTTCCGCACTGGAGCCGCATCTCGTGCCTTTCGCTTTTTTGGGGGGTTGAGCTGCAGCACGTACCAACAACATAGCCTGACCTCGTATGCATAACTTTGATGTCTGGATACCTCGGGTGGCGCTTGTGCCCTTTTCCGGCCTCGCGCATTCGAGCCGAATTGGACGAGGGGGGCGAGGGGGAGGATCGAGCCCCGCCTCTTCCGCGTGCCTCGCCCCCCCCCTCCTCCGCCGAAGGCCAGATACCGTGGTCTCAACTCGCCCTCCTCTGAGTCCATGCTCGACCTCGCACGCTCCCCGGGAGACGAACGAACAACACACACACACACACACCCACAGCGGGGTCGTTGGGAGGAGGACTGGCTGTGGACATGGGCGCGTGCTGTCGGACCACGGGGGCCGCTCCCGTTCTGAGCGGGGACCCCCATCGTTTTCACCCTGAACGACCGGCCGTTGCCGCAACGCAGGACCGCTCAACATCGACCGACTCTGAGTCGCCCGCGGCATTCAAACTTGAACGCCGGCAGCGGGGCCGCTGCCGGTCGACCCCCGCCGCTGCCGCTGGCTCCCCGCCCCGGCGCCCGCCCCGCCACCGCTTACCAGCCTCGAACGTATCCCCATCCCCAAGACTGACACGCCAAAGGGCGATGACAATCTTAGGGATCCGCCCTCAAAACATAAGGGAACCCCTAAGATTGGCATCGTGATGGGGAGGTGCCCAGCATAGGGATAGGGATCTGTTCCAGGCTGGTAAACCGCCCGGCCCTGGTCCGAGCGGGCCTGGCCTCCTGCCCCTCCCGCCGCGCGCCGGGCCTCCTGCCTCCCTCCCATGCCCTGCGGCCTCGTTCGCACCGAGGGTGTCCCACTGTAGTGAAGGGGCCCTGGGACACACAAATAAATACACACAAATCAAAATATCCCCATATTTTCCTATATTTTTTGGGTTTTTGTCTTCCCGCCCAATTCCCATATTTTCCTATATTTTCTTCGGAATCGACCATTAATTGTGTCTGTGTGTTTTTTTTCCTCCTGATGTAGTGCCACTCTGCCAGAGCCGCCCCTCCGCCGAGCCGCCGGCGCAAAAAAAGCGTGCTGCTCGCTCGTCGCCAGGTGCTCTCCACGGCCCCGCCGCAGGCCGCCGCGCGCGGGCGATCGGCGCCGGGGGCCGCTCGCCGCTCGCCGGGCGCGGCTGGGCCTCGCACCGAGGAGCGCGGCCCGCCAGGCCAGGCCCCTCGTTGGAAGTTTCGCTCGGGAAGCCTCTGGAGGGAGCCTCTCAAGCGTCGCTCGTGAGGGAAACTTTTTGGAGGGGACCTGTTGGGGGAACCTCTCTTTTGAGAGAACCTCTCAACCTTTTGAGGGGAACCTTTTGAGAGAAACCGCTTATGTTCGTGCCACGTGTTGCAGCAGCGAGACGTGGTGAGCCAAGGACCTTGGAACATTTCGGGCTTTCAGGAGTCCGGATGGGTGAGAACGTAGAACAAATCGTCGGCAGCCTGTGCTGAATCAGTGGTTTTCGCCTCGACCCTCTTGGAGCACTCTTCGGGTGTCATGAGTGCGTCTTGGGCCTTCCTGCGGCCATCTTGTGCCGTGTTTGTCCTGTCTTGGGGGCCTCCTCGGGATCTCTTGAGGCGTTCTTGGGGCCCCTTGGGTCTTGTCGGTTCTGCAAGCATGGAGGCATTGAAGACGACGCTAGGGGGCGGGCAACATTATGCGGGACATCTGTGGGGGGACATCCGTGGGGGGATGGGCGTGTCCGTGCCATGAAACATATAGCTATACATCTACATGGTACCAGAGGATCGGCAACCATGCGTACACCAAGCTATTGGGATACAACTTTGCACCTTTTGTCAGTAAGACAAGTCGATCATTGGATTCTCAATTGCATCGGTAAAAAAGTAGACCATAAATTAGGCCTGCGGGTGAATATATTGGCAACCTGGCGCAAGGCCATCGCACATCGAAAGCTGCATGCACCCCCCCAAAGAAAAACCTCTTGATCACAAACACGGTGGTCTTTTTGGAGCGGATCTGTGGAGGAACGGGCAGACTATTTGGCAGAGGCGGGCGGAGAGCGAGGAGAGAACAATGAAGACAGAGAGGGATGCAGAACAAACGAGAATAATAGAGACATGAACGCCAGTCGGAACCTTGCGCTGAAAGAGCGTGCCGCCCTCACAGCAATTACCGCACCGCGGTAGTCTAAGCTGCCCGCAATGCAAGTCTCCCCGAGCCTCATTGACAACATCAGCACCTGTTCCAATAACGCGTCCAACCTCTCAGCATGGTGCGGTTGCACGGCGTTGCTGTTGATGACCCCGGGGGGCTGAAAGACAAATGTCTACACTATATGATGGACTGGCGACGCGAATCTTTCTGATACAAATCGGTATGTGAACCGCGTGGTGCGTGCGAGGAGCTCGCCAAACTGTGCAGGAACTGTGTTGTCAAGGCTGCTGCAAAGTACTTGACTGGCTGCTGCCGCCGCTGATGCTGCTGCTTCGGCTGCCACTGCTGCTACTGGGTCAAATCACAGTGTCCCGTGTTGTCCTGCTCCTGCTCATCCTTCTAGCGGGGCTGTCGCGGGATCGACATAAGGTGCCATCACGATACGTGCGCCACGTGTACACTTATGGGCCTCAATGTCCTCTTCGGTGCCCCGCGCTACTGGAAGCACAAGGTTGAATGCTTACACAATACAGATGTGTATCGGCTGCCGGATATTTGGAAATCGAGCGAGGTGCGGCTCTCGACACACAAACGACTGTACATACAGGCGGCTCTGCAGCCGTGGAATTATCCTTCCAACGCTGTGCCCCCGCCAACACACTGCTTGCACTAAGGGGTTTAAAATTGTCATTCGAAATGGTTGGCCTGCGTTTCTACGTCTTCGTCTCGTAGTCGGCAGTGGGCACAGATGGGCGCCTCGTGGGCGCCTCGTGCGCTGGCTGGCGTTGCCGAACCTGCGGCCGGCGGCGCCCGTGGGCGCTTCGTGGGCGCCTCGTGGGCTGGTTGATTTTTCCGGGTGTAGAAATTGCACCGCACAGCCTGCACCCACCACAAGTGGCACATAATAACGTCCAGCATATAGCGTGCACCACATGTATTCTCCTCCTTAAAAAGGAAATAGATTCTACCCTCCCCCCGGGGTTAAATACCCCCTTTTTCGTATTGCAATTTGCATGTGTTTCAGCCCCACCGTCCATCCTAACAGTGAATTCGTGCTAACCCAGTCAGGCCGGTATCGGTTCCCCGTCGGTTCCCTTGCAAACAACTGTGCGTACACACGCGTTTATCATACATCATAAGTTCCAAGAACCGCTTGCAACAAATGACACGAAGTGCACACGCGCGCGTCGTCGCGCACGCATGCCGGAATCCTTCAAAGACGCTCATTGTCGGAAGGATTTCAAAATCGAATGTTCGAACACATACAAAAACACATGGTTTCGCAATACGGAGTTTCAAATAAACTTGCGCGCGCGATTTTGCGAATTCTTCAGAAATGCGTTCCTCCACACTTTCCGAACATAGAAACCAAACGGGCTCCGCGCGCTCGCATGTCGAAACCGTTCGAACGCCCTTGCGCGCGTCTGGGGGGGCACGATCCGTGTGAAATAACGCCATGCGGGCCACTCTCGCGCGTCTGCCGCGCGCGCGCATTTCGAGCTCCTTCCAAAAGCTGCATCACCGACGCGACGACGCCGTCATCGTCGTCGGCGTGATCCGCATCGGCGCCGTCACTGGTTGCCCCGTCGTCGCTGTCAGCATCGTCACCAGCATCGCTACTATCATCTTCGTGTCTACCGTTGTCGACGTGGCAATGATACCGCGCCCGCCCATGTCGCCGACTTGCATTGAAGTGCCCGCTGGGATGTGCCGAGCGGTCAACGCCACCGTTTGCGTCGGTCGCGCCAAACTAGCTGGCCGCTGCGCGCGCGAATATGCGCGGGCTAGCGCGGCCGCATACATGCACCAGGCAACGCCAAACACTCATCGCAATCGCCGCCGCATGGGTTTTGCAAACCAAATTGCGGATGGGTGGGTGGGATGTTTGCGCGAACAGTGGCGTGGACAGTGCGGACAGAAAGTAATCGCACACCATACGTTGCACCACAGAGATTGCGACACACATAGCTTGTAAACACAATGGGCTGCACACCAAAAATGCACCACACAAGCTGCACCACCCTCATTGCCTCACAAACGATTTCTTTGCCAACAGAAAAGCAATTCGAACCATCTGGGATTATTGCATCGCCCGGGAATATTACAATTAACATGTGGGTCTGGCCCATCGTCTTTTAAACTATGGACCGAAACCATCCCGATCATATCTTCTATCGGCCCAACCCTCATCATTGCCGAATGAAACAATGTACCCGCAGTCGTTTCTCAAGGGCCGTTCATGTCCAAGAATTACTTGCAAGAGTGGGGCAAAACGTCACGCGCGCGTCGTCGCGAACGCATGCCTCGCTTCTTCAAACACCCAACGTGCCGCAACGATTCCAAGCTCGAGGTTCCCAGGCACATATAACGCACGCCCCACTGGTTTTGCAGCGCGGACTATCAAACAAATGCGCGCGCGCCCCCGCTAGTTCACATTTGCGCCATTCGTGTTCCAACTTGCCATCAAACGCGATCATGCGGGCCTCTCGCGCGCGCGTGCCAAAATCATTCGGGCGCTGTCGCGCGCCTGAAAGAGGGGGAGGGGGGAGGGGGGGGGGCATGCCCCCCGCGCGCGTGTCGAAATCCTTCCAGAACTTTCAACGCCGACGCGTGGGTGCCGTTATTGGCCTCGCCATGGTCATCGTCATCATCGTTGCCAACATCGGTGCTATCAGCATCGTGTCAGCCGTTTTCGATGTCGCAATGGTAAAGCGCCCGCTCGCGTCGCCAACTCGCACTGAAGTGCCTGCGCGTCATCGCTGCTTGCGAGGCGCGCTGGGAAGCCCCCAGCTGTCGGCGCCGCCGCGGCCGCGTCGGTCGCGCCAGACTAGCGGGCCGCTCTGCGCGCGAGCCTGCGCGCGCTATCGCGGCCGCAACGATGCGCCAGCCAGCGCCAAACACTCGTCGCAATCGCCGCCGCATGGGTTTTGCAAACAAAGTTATGGGTGGGTGGGTGCGAGCAGTGGACTTGACCACTCCCTGGTGAACATGGGCCAATTGCACAGCGAGAGTGCCAGAATCCGATGATCGGGGTCTGCGCTGGTGACCTTTTGTTTTGTTGTGTTTGTTTATCTTCTTCTTTTCCAAGCAGAGAAATCCGCGTCGCCGTGATCCGCTGCCCCTCAAGGCGGCCATCCCCGACGCCGCGAGCGATGCGCCGAGCCGCGCTGAAAGAAAAACAACAATGGCCCTGGGCGCGCCCACCCCGGGCCCGCTCTGCGAACGCGGCCGAAATTCTGCGCGCGAGTTCGCGCGGGGGGAGGGGGGGCGGCGGAGGGGCGGAGGGAGGGGCAGAAAAAGGACAACTGCACAAACGAAGCTAACAAGTACCTATGATATTAAAATATTGCGCCCCCCCCCCCCCCCCCCCCCGGAGCAACATTCAAAGCGGCGCGAGTTAATCCCAGATCGCATTGGCGAGACCGCGACCGCAAGGAGGGGGGGGGCGAGGAGAACGAGTGAGGCTGCGCGCGCCCAGCGAAACCCACCGCGCGAGGCCGCGCGCGCCCGCGACGGCGCGCGAGGAGGACCTCGGCCAGAGAGACCCCGAGAGGGAAAGCACCATGCGCCCTAGATATCACGATAAGTCACAGGCCGCAGACACGGCGCAACTCGAAAAGCAAGAGGAAGCGCAGGCGAACAACCAAGCGAGGGAGACAACAATGGCATGCCACTCTCGACGACGGCGCTGGCGCACCGCGGACAATAAAGCAGCCGCAGGCCCATGGCCCCGGGCCCCTTCTCGCAGAAAGCCGCGGAAGTGCTCGGCGCAGCGCCCCCCGCCGCCCCGCCGCCTCCGCGCCGCGCCGCGCTATGTGTGCAGTACAAGGCAAACGCGCTGGGGGGCCGCAGAACGGCGGCGGCAGGGCCGCCCTGTGGAGGGCCATCGACGCGCCACTGTCGAATGGAGGGAGAGATGAAGATGAAATCGCTCAAGGCCGCGGCAGCCCCAGGACGCTCCAAGCGCAGATGCTGCCGGCGGAGCCCATAGTACACGGGGCACTTCCAGTAGTGCTTCAGCGAGTCGACGGCTCGGTCGCACCCCGCGACGCGTCGCCCGGCGCCTTGAAACCTGCGGGCCGTCGCCCACCCGTTCAGCTTCGAACGCGAGACCGCGGAGAGCTCCCGCGGGGGAACCAGCAGTTGGATACTCTGCACGTTGAATAATGGCGGCGCCGGTGGCCGGGAAGAACGCCGAGCTGCCTGTGGTCGAAGCGCGCGCTCCATCGCCGCAGCATGGGGTATAGGCATCGCCACGCGGGCGCGAGCTTGCCAACCCTCCCGGCGCCCCTCTTCGGATGACGGGCCGAGGGGCGCCTGGGCGGCCGCCCCTGCGGCAGTGAACTCCAGCGGTGCGGACTCGAGGGAGAAGGGGAACGACGAGGGTCCCAGTCATGCCGCGACCCCGGGCGGGCGGCGCTGCCAGCTGCCTGCGTGGTGGCCCGTAGGGCCGCTGCGCGTGGCAAAACGCGCAGACCTCCAGAGCGATGGGCCTCGCGAGCCGCCGCGGGAACTCTGGCAGTGCCGGCGACGCCCTCGACGCCGACCAAAGCGCGAGGAAAATCGAGAGAGCGCAGCGACCTGAGGATGTCGGGCGAGAGCCAGTTCATAGGTCCTGGGAATACCTTCTGAACAGTCCGCTCCCCCACCTCAGCGAGCGCGTCGGGGAGGGGGCCCAACTGCGCTGCGAAGGCGGCCACCGAAGCCATGGAAACCCGGCGCGCCTTCGCGGTCTGCACCGCGCCGGCCCCGGCGCCTCTCCAGACCGAAGCCCGCCCGCCCATCTTCCTGACGCCGCCGTTCCACGACTTGGCGCCCCTCCCAGGCCCAGCATAGAACCCCGAGTATTTCGCCGAGTCGGCGATCTCCAGGGCGCTCCACAAAGGAACTTCAGCGCGCGAAGGCGGGCGCGAATTGCCGAGCGGCTGAAAGCCCCAAGCGGCGCCAATGCTGTTTGGCGGACGTAGGGCCCCAGGCCGACTGCGCGCTCGAGGGGGGCCGGGCGCCTCGGCAGCAGCGGGTCAGCCTGGGCCGCGTCGTCGGCGTGAGCCCGCGAAGTCAAAGATGGGGGGTCGCGGCGTAGACGCGTGAGCAACAAGTAGGTGGCGACCGCGAACAACAGGGGAGAGAGGGGGCACCATTGTCGGATGTCACGGTGAACTCCGAACCCAGCGTAATGGGCGCCATCCAGGACAATGTCGCACAAATTGCCCTGTACAACGCGTCGATGTAGCTTCGGGGCCAAGCCGACCAACTGAAGGACTCGAACACCTGCTTGAGGAAGGAGTGGGCGATGGAGGGGAAGGCGGCGGCGAAGTCGAGAAATATAGCGCCAGCAGCCTCGTCCGAGTCGCAGGCGGCCCAAACCGAGGCTTCCTCGATGTCGACCAAGTTGGACAGCATGGACCGCCCCCTGATGAACCCCTTCTTGATGTCCAGCGCTCTGGGCCCCGCCGCAGGTTCGAGCGGCAGTCGCGCGGCATTCGCCAGCAAGCTGTTGTCCGAATTCGTGGCGTTGAGCGGGCACGTGTTGGCAGGCTCGTAATATCCTTCCCCTGTTGGCCCCACGCCCGAAGGCTTCTTGGACAGGAAGAAGAGGGGGCTAGCGTTGAAATCGCTGCAAAAGCCTGCATGAGGGTCACGCCGTCGGCGGACGAGAGGGCCTGGAAGGCGTCGAAAAGGATGGTGGTCGAAAGCGCAGCGTTACGACGCCATGTCAGAAAAAAGATTCCGTCGGACTTGTCGACGGCCTCGCGCGCGCGTCAACGAGGAAGGCGAAACCTGGACTGGTCAAGCGGGACAGCATCGGCCAAGGGGCGGTCGTCCGCGTCGTCATCCGTCCACTTCCGCAGCAGGGCTTCGTCGATCACCCTGTCCGCGAAGATCTCTTTCCGATGTGAGCGCAAGGCGGCTGCCTTCGCATCGGGGCGCGTGACAGCCTCGCCGTCAGGCTGCAACACCGCCGAGATGCCGCCCGCGCGGCCCGGCGCCAACTGGTAGATGAGGCGAGCGTTGCGCTGTCTCGCCTGCGTGGCCCGGAAATCGCCCCCGCGCGTGAGCTCGACGTGGGATCGGCCCAGCTCGCCGATGGCGTGCTCGCGAGCGAATCGAACGGCATGTAGACGAGCGCCTCGGAGAAGGCGCGTCATATTGCCATCGACGCGGTAAGAGTTGTCGACGACTTCCCGAAGATAGGGGTAGCGTAAAAGGCAAGACGAGACCACATTGAGGCGGCCCGCCCCCGCAACGCGAGTGAATTTCATGGTGACCCCCCGATGGCAACCGATCGTTTCAGCGTGAATGCGCTGGTAACCGTGGTGCAGATATTGTTCCATCGACAGGAGCACCTGAAACCATGCAGGCAGGCCTGGAAATGCATCACTACACCCTGCGAAATGCTTAAGAAATCATGGGTTAAGAAATTCATAGTCTCAGAAATTGAATAAAACCCAAAACTTCTATCAAAATCTTGGGATTTACATTGAAACGTTAAGAATAATCGAGACTCTGGCCGAAAACTTAGGTTTTCTTAAGCATCGCCTAAGGTGTACACATAATTATCCCAGACGCGGATCACAGCGAGGCGCCGCTCTGGGCTCGAACCTGTCAGGCCACGACAGAGGCAAGCAGCAAAAACGAGCGGATCGCCTCGATGCCTGGCCGCCGCCTCTGGGGCCACGGCGGGCCCAGGTGCGGACGCCCATCCCCCCCCCCTCCTCCTCCTCCTCTTCCTCCTCCTCCTCCTCCTCCTCCTCCTCCTCCTCCTCCTCTCCTCCTCCTCCTCCTCCTCCTCCTCCTCCTCCTCCTCCTCCTCCTCCTCCTCCTCCTCCTCCTCCCCGTCTAGGGAACCCGCAGAAGACATGCGCGCCCACCCGTGTACGTGAGTCGGGCCTCCCTGTCCGCGAGGCCAGTCTCGTGTTACGAACTCTGGCGCAAGTCGCGCTCTCGAAGCCCACCAGAATTCATGTGCACCTGCGTCCTGTCTTCCGCACCTGACAATCCCCCCCTCCCTGTTGGGCCAACGCCGCCGCCTGCCCCAGTGGCGAGGCCCCACCAGGAACCCCCGGCCGAAGAAGAAACATCAAATCTACCACCGTGCCCCCCGGCACGTTGAGGCGTGGCACACTGCCAGGTGCGGTCTGCCAGGGCTCCTGCAAGTCTTCTGCAAGCCTTTCTCCCCACTCACACCCAGGGCGCAGGCATCCACCCCTTCTCGAGGCTCTTCCTGAGCGCCAGGAGGTCTCCCTGGGCGCTCTCCCAGTCTGTCCACAGCTTCCAAGGCGGCGTGAGAAGACCGCCAAGGCTGCCAAGACAACCCCATGTTGCCTCAGGCACCCAACAAACCCCAAGCAGTTCCCTAAGTGGCGCCACGTGGCCCCCGAGACGCTTCCAAGATAGCAGAAAGAAGACCACCATGAGGGCCCCCAGGAAGGGCAAGGCCATTCAATTACTTTGCTCCGGGCGAGCCCCACTAGAGAGCTGGTGCGCAGTGCGCATGCATTCGACGTTTCTTTGGATGATAGGTGAAGGGGTTTGTTTAGTTTCGCGAGCAGCTTGTACGTATGTTTTTGAATCTAACGCGAGGGTTGCGCCCCCCCCCCCCCATGTTCAACATCGGTAGCGAGTGGTTTTCCATATGGGTTCCCGTATGGTCTTCTGCATGGTCTCCGCCATGGTCTTCCGCATGGTCACCCGCATGGTCTCCCGTATGGCCTCCTGCATTGTCTCCTGCATGGCCCCCCGTGTCATCTCACGTTCGGTCACCCGTCTGGTCTCCCGTGTGGTATCCCGTGTGGTCTTCCGCATTGCCTCCCACGTGGTCAACCGCATGGTCTCCCGTAGGTTCTCCCGCAGGGCCTCAAGCATGGCCTCTCGTATTGCTTTGGTCGCTGCAGCACTCTGCAGCAGACTCTTCGCTTGTCTAGGGTGCTCTCTATAAGTGCTCGATGTTGTTGTCCAATGCGCAGCTTAGGGCCTTCTGTCGCCGAGGGTGTGATGGTTCGCGCCTGGCCTCCGTGTGTTTCTGTAAGGCTTGTTACTCGTGTGCTGTGTGGAGATGCTGCTCTCGCGTGGTCTTCACGCACGGTACGCTCAATCGCCAGACTGTGCTTGCACAGTGGGGTTCCCTTCGCCCACCGTTCGCTCACCCGCCCGTGACGTCTCGCGGGGTAATGATTATCACCATCCACCCCGTGACGTCACGATCCAGCTCCCCGCCACAATCCAGCACCCCGACGTGGGCGCGGGGGACCGACATCAAGATGAGGGTGGGTTGAGCAGGGACCGACCGTCCCGGCATTCCTATAGTCCTACCATGAAATGTTATTAGAACTGTTCTTAGAACCCAAGAATGTTCTAAGAACAAAAACAATGTTCTTAGAACCTATCCCCGATGTGTTAAAACAAGACAGTCCCAGCCAAAAATGTTCTAAGAACATTTCCTGGAAACCACAAGAGGTTCTTCGAGCATTGTTTGGTGGGGCTATGGGCGAGCCAGGACGCTTCGCCACTGCTGGAGTGGGGGCAGCTCGCTCCACCGCCCGTGACGTCACCTGCTGGGTCGGCTTGGGGATGGGCGTCGCGCACTCCCACCCGGCAAGGGCCGCTGGGCAACCGCTGTGAGGCTGGCGGCTCCGCGAGGTTTTCGCCTGCTGTCCGCCCGTGGCCGCCTCGTGCACTGGCAGCGGGGCCCGGCTTGCGTCCGGTGCCCGCCCGCGGCCGCGTCGTGCTCTGGCCGGCGGTCCCGAGATCTGGTCTGGTGCCCTGCCCAACTGTTCTTCCCCCTGCCAACCCATCGAAATCTGCCTCCAAGACGCTCCCGCCGATGGGGAGGTCGTATTCCCGCAGCCAAGACCAGATCTCGGCCGCAAGAATCCGATCGGGTCGTCGATGCTTACCGGGATCCCACAGCTTTCGCCAAGACCCAACTTCTGGAGAACCTCCCAGCACAACTAAACACATACAACATAACACCAACTGCAAACGCTCGTGCTGCCACTGACATCGTGACCACGTCGCCCACTGCCTGGCGCCTCCAGGATTTCGTCTGGTGCCCGACTACTGAAATCCATTTTGTAGCGGATTTCAGAAGGGCTCCTTCTGTAAAGGATTACAGAAGGATTCTCTGTGTGGCAGATTACACAAGGACTCCTTCTGTGAAGGATTACAAGAAGATTCCTTGTGTGGCGGACGAGAAAAGAACTCTTGTGGCAATCTCGAAAACCCCTCCGCGAGCCTTGCTCCAGGGCGCTCTATATGACAAGAACACGAGCAAGTCAAATGGAGTGAAATTTCTTCCTTTCGGGGGGAGAACGGGGGTGGGGAGCCCCAGAGATTGTGACCCCCCCGTGGGGGAGCACCCCTCCCTGGGAGAAGTTTTTTCCTTTGATTCCTTGCCTCGCAGACGCCTCGGACTCCCCCCTCAGGGTCGGCAGCGCCGGCCGTAAGGCCTTCACAGTAGACAGCACGTGTGAAACGACCCGCGTGAGCAGAGGCCCCTCACCAGGACGTGTGTAAACATGTATCTATATAATGTACACAGCAGGTACATGCGATAACACATCTTGCTATAGAAGGGCACATCTTATGTCGTCCCCGAGCCTCGTAAGGTGGCCCAGGGCTCTTTGGTCCCATCGGATTATGCGCAATTCTCGCGGGGCACCCGTTGGCAGGCCACTTTCTTATTTGATGTACCTGCTGTATAAGCTCCTCGCACGCCCTGTATCGCGGAGGGATCCTCATGAGCCTGGCCCACCACGAGCCGCAAACATCCGCCCCAGGCCCCCCCGGGTATAGCGGAACTGCACATGAGCGTGTCGTCCCAGTCCCAGATGATCATGGTGTGTTCCGTGGTGTGAGGCCTCAGGCGTGGCGGATGGTCGAGGGACAGTGATGGGAGGCCAGAGTGTTCGGCTCTGGTGGGGAATATGGGCACGCGGACGCGATGAGATCTCTGCAGTCTTGATCTTTCTCCTCGGTCGCTTGGCTAGCCTGAGGGCCTGAGTGCCGAGGACGCGCCAAACTCGCCTCCCTGTGCCCTGAATTGATCGGCCAACGCCTTCGGTACTGGCGTGGGAAATGCCCCTTCCCGAACCCCTCCCAAAGGGGTCGAGTGTGCCCCGTTGAAGAAGGGAAAGGGCGGCAGTGCGTACATGCTTCTAGGGGGCCCTAGGAGATCGGCAATACGACCCGAGAGCTTTCCATGACCCAAGGAGACCCGATGGGGCCCTGGGAACGCCCCGAAATAATCCCCAGGAGGCGCACGAGAAGCCAGAAGAGGCGAGGTGGGAACGCAGAGGGGAGAGGGAAGAACCACGGAGGAAAAGACGGGCACGTTGATCTTGCCGCAGACTGGTCGAACATCTACGAGCCAGACCCGGGGCTCGGCGCGGTTCCTCCGGGCATCTTGTCGCATGACCGTTTCCGGCCCTAAGAGGGCCTGAAAACAGGCCAAGAGGGCCCCACGAGACGCCCCAAAGAGGGTCCAAGAGGGCCCTGGGTCGCTGGAAGATCACTCCAAGATGCCCAGGATGGCCCAAGGCCCAAGAGGCCTCCAAGTCGCTCCAAGAAGCCTCCAAGAGGCCTCCCAAGAGGGCCCCAAGAGGCACAAATCATTGATTTCGTATAGGTATTCGAAAGATTTTGGTGTTCTCGCCTTTTCGGTTTTCCGACGCTCCAAGACGGTCCACGAGGCCCCCAAGACCACCCCAAAACTGCCCAAGAGGCTCCAGGAGGACCCAAGAGGCCCCCAAGAGGCCCCCAAGAGGCCCCCCAAAGGCCCCAGGAGGCCTCAAAACTGCCCCCAAGAGGCCTCCAAACTGCAAGAGGCCCTCGAGAGGCATCCCACGAGATCCCAACGCGCATCCAATAGGCTCCATTGCCACAACCCAAGCACGGTGCCGGGATGGGTCGAAGGCCATTCGATAAAGTGCGGACGGAGGGAGAGAGAGAGGAGGAGGAGGAGGAGGAGGAGGAGGAGGAGGAGGAGGAGGAGGAATACGGGGAGGGGGAGGTGGAGGAGAAGGATGAGGATGAGGGTGAGGGAGGATGAGGAGGAGGAGCAGTGCAAACCCAAGGCTCAACAAGGATATTGTAATACACCCTACCTCCCAGCACCCTGCTCACAAGCTCCAGCAACTGTTCACTTCCACTGAGGGAAATGCCCCGTTGGGAAACAACCATTTGAAGATCCTGAAACGTGCCAAAACACCGTTCACGGGACCCAAAAGCCACGAATCAACCTGACTGTTGCGTCTTGACGGCCCTGAACCGGGCCAGAGCACCATTCTTGGGACTTACCGCCGCGAATCAACGTAACTGTGGCGGCCTGACAATCCTGAACCGTTCTAAAACGCTATTCCTTGTGCGGTGGTCATTGGAGCCCCCGAGGCTCTTGCAAATGCTTGAAACAAATGTGCGCGGCGCTGAGGCGAGAGCCACATCTTGAAAATCACCCGCCCTCAATCGTCAAACTCTGGCAGTTGTTTCAAACGAATGAGCGCGGCGCTAAGGCAAGAGCCTAATTTGAAAACCGCCCGCCGTGCATTTGTGGAACTGTTGCGCTGCAAGGTCGTAAATGGTGAGGAGGTCTCGAGCGAAACGCCTGGCCCGCCCGTTCGATCGGTTTCGGGGTGCAAGTAGGAGGAAGTGTGTATAAGGGAAAAAAATGAAAGGAGGATGAGGATGAGGATGAGGACGAGGATGCGGAGGTCGAGGCGGAGGACGAGGAGAAAGAGGAGGAGGAGGAGGAGGAGGAGGAGGAGGAGGAGGAGGAGGAGGAGCAGGAGGAAGAGGAGGAGGGTGGAAACGACGCTGCATTTTCCCAGAGAGGTTCCCGGAATGCCCCCCCTCGGGTCTGAGGGGGCCCGGAGGGGGGCTGGGGCGGGGGCTGGGGAAGGGGGGGGGGGCGGAGTTCGCCAATGCACACCCAGGGCGTCTGGAGCCTCCAGGACGCCCAAGATGCCATTTAAGCTGGCTCAAGCTGGGCTCGCCGATGAGTCCTCACAGAAGACTAAGACGGCCTCAAGACTGCCCAAGAGGCCTCAAAGAGGCCCCAAGAGAGCTCAAAAACGACCCACGAGAGGGACCCAAAAAGCCAAATCACTGGGGCAACCGTGTTTGTGTAGTATGTTCGCATGTTTGTTCTTACCGGCGGCGAGTAGGGAGGGGCGGGGGGGGGGGTCGAAACCTCTGGGGGGCCTGGGGAGGGGCTGGGGTTCGAAACCGGTCGGGGGGGCCCGGGAAGGGGGGGGGCGCGGTTTGGTCGGATCTCTGGTTTCTTTGTGGGTGGGGGGAAGGGGGGGGGTTGTGCAAGGGGGGGGGAGTTGGGGGGGGGGGGGGTCCCCCCGGACAAGACGGCTCAAATGGCTCCAAATATCGCTCGAAGACGGCACAAGAAGCCCCCGAGAGGGCCCCAAGAGGTCGAAGAGGTTCCCAAGACGGCCCAAGAGGCGCCACGGCCCAAGAGGCGCCCAAGATGGCCCCAGAGAGGCAACTCGAACTGACATTCCGCATCCTCCGCCCCCCGAGGGGACTCCCGAGACCGCCAGCAGGCACCCAGAGGCCACAGAGGCCACGGGCCTCGCCCGTGCACGGCGCGGAGCGGCGGCGCACAGCGCACGCGCGCCCCATTCCACGGCGCAGCGGGGCGGAGCGGGGCAGAGCGGAGCGGAACCGGCGCAGCAAGGTCGGCGAACTGGAATTGGAACTGTTCCGGTTCCGGTTCCGGTTCCGGTTCCGGTTCCGGTGCCGGTGCCGGTGCCGGTTCCGGTTCGCCTCCAGCCGGGAAGGGGGAGGAGGGGGGGGTGCGTTCAGGTTCCGCTTCCGGTTCCGGTGCCGGTGCCGGTGCCGATTCCAGTTCGCCTCCATATCCGGGAGGGGGGGGTGCGTTCAAGTTTCAAGTTCCGCGTCCGGTTCCGGGTATAATTTCCAGCCTGGCGTGAGGTCGGTGAACCGGAGCTGGAAATGGAACTGTCACTGGAACTGGAGCTGTTCCGGTTCCGGTTCCGGTTCCGGTTCCGGTTCCCGTTCCGGTTCTGGTTCCGGTTCCAGTTCCATGCAGTTCCGGTTCTGGTTCCAGTTCGCCTCCAACTGGGAGTGGAGGCGGAGTGCGTGTTCCAGTTCCGGTTCCGGTTCCGGTTCCGGGTTTCCAGCGGGGCGTGAGGTCGGCGAACTGGGATCTAGACTTGAAGTAGAGGAGGATAGCAGGAGAGGAGGGGGCAGACAAGGAGGGCGGGCAGAGGGAGGACAGCACCACTTCCTGACGAGCCGAGAAGCGTCAAGACTTGGCAAAGATTTGACAACAGGCCACATAAAAAAAACCATGAGACAAGCACGACGACGACAAATTCCCCCAACCTACTGGGCAGGGATGGTTTAGGGTGCCGCCTCTTCCAAAACAATCTCTTCTTCATCATCCCTGTCCCCCCGTGGCCATTGGACTCCCTCGCGAGGGGCTGGAGCGTCCACGATGCTCCCGGGGACGGGTTCAACATGGCCAAGAGTAGTCCAATATAGCATTCAACATGGCGCAACATTGTCCACATTTTGACGCACTCTCTGGCAACGAGGGTGACAGTCAGTAACAAAACAATTAAACAGTCGACGCGCCAAATGCGTACCGACCGCGAGACGGGCCAAACGCGCGTTGACCATGCAAAAGCAAGTGACAAGCATACGTCATTTACGCCTCCGCAGGCATCGCTGCCTCCTTCTCTTCCTCCTCCTCCAAGATCCTCCTCCTCCTCATCCTCCTCATCCTCCTCTTCCTGCTCCTCAACCTCCTCCTCCTCCTCCTTCTCCTCCTCCTCCTACCGCTCATCCCCCACCTCCTCCCCCTCAGCCTCTTCTTAATCCTCCTCCTCCTCCAGTTCCTCCTCCTCCTCCTCCTCCTCGTCATCGTCATCAGCATAATCTTCTTTATGTGCTAGTACACGAATAATTCTTACTATTCATAATCGTATCATTATCAGCTTTCGCTTCATTCGTATAAGTGGTAGTTCTATCACTCGAATTACTATTATTATTTGGATGATGATTATGAATCTGCTTCGTTGTCACACTCTGATTTTTTAGTGCTACTATTGGTCGTATCATCGTTCGTATGATTATTCTTGCTGATTTCTACAATGTCCCCTCTTTTTCGTTCATTAATATTGCCGTTTGTCTTAATGTTCCTATTTGTCGTCTGTTTATGTTTCCTCGTCTTCGTATTACTATTACCAGTTCTCTTATCCGTAGTGTTCGTATTATGTTTATGCGCGTTCGTCTTCTGACTCTCAACAAGAGCTTTCTTCTCAATATTCTTATCACTACTATGTCTGGTCTTATGTGTTTTTTTCCTTCTCCATATTATTTTTCGTGCTCTTGAAACTCTTTGCCTTCTTCTGATTAGCACCCACATTAGAAGTACGAATGTCATTCGTAGTTTAATAATCTTGCTTAAAAAAACAAATATTACTATTCGTAATACCAATTTTCGTTGTCTTCTTCGCTGCGTTCTTCTAATAATTCGGAATATTCTTATTATTGGTATTATTATTCTTTTTTACTTTCGCAGTCTGATAATGATTCGTAGTGTCCTTCCTCGTGTTCGGTTTCGTATGTGTCTTGTTCGTGTTCTTATGTTAGTATGTTTTACTATGTGTGGTAGTAGTAGTAGTAGTAGTAGTAGTAGTAGTAGTAGTAGTAGTAGTAGTAGTAGTAGTAGTAGTAGTAGTAGTAGTAGTAGTAGTAGTAGTAGTAGTAGTAGTAGTAGTAGTAGTAGTAGTAGTAGTAGTAGTAATAGTAGTAGTAGTAGTAGTAGAAGTAGTAGTAGTAGTAGTAGTAGTAGTAGTAGTAGTAGTAGTAGTAGTAGTAGTAGTAGTAGTAGTAGTAGTAGTAGTAGTAGTAGTAGTAGTAGTGGTAGTAGTAGTAGTAGTAGTAGTAGTCGTAGTAGTCGTCGTAGTAGTAGTAGTAGTAGTAGTAGTAGTAGTAGTAGTAGTACTCGTAGTAGTAGTGGTAGTAGTAGTGGTAGTAGTAGTAGTAGTAGTAGTAGTGGTAGTAATAGAAGTAGTAGTAGTAATCGTAGTATTCGCCCTTGTCCTATCCTTAATCTTACTATTCCAAGTATGGGTATTATTCGTCTTCGTCGCCTTCGCCTTCTTGTTATTCTTACAATGATTAATATTTTAATTATTGTCACCCGTAAAACTACTACTAGGAGTACTACAAATGTTGTTCTTGTTTTTCCCCAGTTAGTGCTTGCACTGAAGGGGTCCTAGCGGACTTTGAAAGATTTGGCGAACATTTCCCGCCGATTTCGGTGGCAAGCTGGGTTCCAAGGTTCCCGGGTTCTGGGTTATATCCGGGCCGATTTCGGTGGGTTCTGGGTTTCTGGGCTTCTGGGTTCCAGTCGATCTCAGCGAAAACCATCCACTGATTGGGGTTTTTCTCTAGTGTCATAATCTTATTCGTTTTCGTCTTCCTCCTCCTCCTCCTCCTCCTCCTCGACCTCCTCCTCATCCTAAGCACCCCAGGGGTCAGTGAACTGGAACTGCAACTGTTCCGGTTCTGGTTCCGGTTCTGGTTCCGGTTTGCCTCCAGCCGGGAGGGTGGGGTGCGTTCCGGTTCCGGTTCCGGGTTTCCAGCCGGGCGTGGGGTCGGTGAACTCAATTCACCGATCCACTGGGGGGCTTAGGACAGGTTGTGCCGTTTGGGCTGAGTATTGTATGTATGTTATAAAGCAGTGCGTGCTAGTTACATGATATGTGCAACCACGTTGCATGCCAATTATAACCTTACCAAGTGCATAACATACTTATCACCTCTGCTATGTAGTTACCCACACACGCTATGTCCGTTAGAGGATGCACCACTTAGGGGTCATAACGCTAAGTTCGCTAAGTCGTTTACGCTAAGTTCGCTAAGCACAGGATGGGCAGGGCAACATCAAAAACATAGAATGCGTTCGCACAATTTTTGGTGGCCAAGACAACACCAAAATCATGAAACTCGTTCACGTAATGTCACCGCGGCCTGTCCGTCCGCGCGTTTGCCCAGGAATCGGAAAGCCCATTGAGGGGCTTTCCGATTTCTGGGGGGGTCCTCAGCACATGCATGGAATGACGCAACAAAACGCCGACGCATATTCAGATGTGCACATCCGTCTGCGTAGCCATTTTGGCTCAAGCTTAGGTTTCGACCACTTACGCTTTTTTTCGTTTATCATCGAACAGCTGCACTTCATGAGCGACCGCTATGAACATTGCGATAAGGCTCTCGTCGACGAGGGCGACCGCATTCTCGAACAGGCAGATCAGGGAGGAGCTCCCATTCTGACGGTTGCCCTCGAATTCGTAGAACTTTGCGAGATCCGCCGGCCCCCTTGTGGGGCCACCAGGCTGCGAGGCGCGTGATTCGCAGTTTCCGGTACCAGTTGTAGTTTGTAGTTTCCAGTGTTACAGTTCTGCTTCTTGCTGGTTGCTGTAACTAGTTGACTTCTTGCTGGTTACTGTAACTAGTTGATTGACCGCGCGAGGGGGGGGAGGCCCAAACGGGATTTTTAGCACCCCCTGGGCGCGTTGTCTGAATTGCTGGGGGGGCTCGAAATCAACACCCCTCACGCAGATCCGCGGGGTCAGGGTCCAAAAACACAGGGGATTTGCCACATTTCTGAAATTCGGTACCACCCCTCACGCAGATCCGCGGGGTCAGGGTCCAAAAACACAGGGGATTTGCCACATTTCTGAAATTCGGTGCCACCCCTCACGCAGATCCGCGTGGTCAGGGTCCAAAAACACAGGGGATTTGCCACATTTCTGAAATTCGGCACCACCCCTTACGCAGATCCGCGGGGTCAGGGTCCAACAACACAAGGGATTTGCCACATTTCTGAAATTCGAACCCATCACGCACATCCATCGCAAGGCGTGGTAACCCAAACTGCGGGAACTCCCTCGGCCCTTTCATCGCAAGGTGTGGTAACCAAGCCCTTAAACCATACACGTCTTACCAATCGCCAGGTGTGGTAACCCCTCTTGTGATCAGTTGGTTTTGCTAATTGCGACTCGGCTTCGCATGAAGTTTCGATGCTGCTTCACGACAGCGCCAAGGCCTCATGACTTAGCTCTTCCATGGCCCATTCTCCGAGAGAGGGGGTCGGCGGCAGGGGGCGAAGCCCTTGCGGATTAACAAGTTGATGTAAAAAAGGACATGTTGCATTCCAAGTTCGTTCTGTGCCACCCTAGGAACCGAGGCTCATTAGGTCTCAGCCCTTACAATTGCCACCTGAACCTTGCTAGCGTCTATCGCGTCGGCGCGAACCCAACTGAGTTGCGCGGGGCCGTCGCGTTCGAAATCTCCGCCAAGAGGGGCTGCAGGGACGGCGAGATCCGCGCCAACGAGCAGTTCGTTCGGTTGGCAGGATGCTTGCTGGCGCCAGTGTCTGGCGCCGAGCGGGTGCTGAGCGTCGGCTGCGGTCACATGGCAGGGGCGTGTCGCGCGTCGAATGCGGGGTGCAGGACCTCGCGCGACTATCGACGACGACGACGACGGAGACGACGACGACGACGAAGACGTCGACGACGACGGAGACGACGCCGACGACGACGACGACGCCGCCCGATCAGGACTCCGATGAGGCAGATCGCCGACGACCAGAGCCGCCTTGACCTGAGCAAGCTGAAGGAGCAGAAGCGCTTGGCAGACATGTTGGACCACGGATGGGAGTGGAAGGTATTGAAATGGCAGGTGGGGGACACGTGGGAGAGGGCTCCCGACATCCTCCAGGCCGCCCTTAACGCGTCGCATGACGTCGGCGCGGACGCATCAGAAATGGAAGTTGCCATGGCCATCGCAGATCGGGTCCAGGCGGCGAACGAGCGGGATGATGTGTCGGCCGACGTATGGGGCGACGCTGTGACAGAGGCTTCGCGTCCTGGGGCAAGCGTGCCTGGCGTCAGTGGTCAGGGCGAACATCTTCCTGTGCTGAGGAGGCTGTGCACCCCCGAGGCGGCTCCCATGCCACATGTACGCATGGCGCCACGCATGGCAGCGTTCACAGATGCGGATCCTTACCAACAGCAGCAACTGCAGCAGCAGCAGCTGCTGCTGCAGCAGCAGGGGCATCAACAACACCAGCCAGCTAGACTGCAACCGCCAGCGCCACTGCTGGCGCTGCCGGCCCAAGCCCCTACGGCGCCGGCCACGAGGAGTGCAGCTACGAGGCCATCGACAATCCCAGGCTCCTGGCTCGACACACCCAGGAGCTACCGCGACATTACCACGCTCGCGCAGCAGGGTCGGGTGGGCGGGAAAACGCATCCCCGAATGCGGGACGGCCAGGCGAATCCCGAATCGCGAAAGCCTGCGCCGCGGACGCGCCCGCGGGCGCGCAGGAGGGGGAGTGGTGTCGCGGCAGCTCCTGGCTGCCTCAATGGCCATCGGCGTCAGTCCCACTCGAGGCTGCGAGCTCGGGCATCGCGGTGAAGGTGCCCACGCTGGCCGAGGCAGCTGACAGGATCGCACAGGAGCTGCAGGCCAAGAGTGCGCCTGCAGCCGATGCCGAGCAAGAGCCCGAAGACGCTGAGGACGAGGCGGGTCCCTCCAAGAATAGGCCTGCAAGCGCCGCTCTGCAGAACAGGGACAGGGTGGCGAAGACACCAGCGGCTGCCCACGTCCCAGTCATCTGGGAAAGGCCGCCCCCGTGCCCTCGCGTTGGGTCGCCTGCAACGCTCTTCAAAGGTGCGAAGATCTACGTGTCCGACCCGCAAAGGTGCTTAAGGGTGATCCGCGATGCCACGAAGGGCGCCAGCGAGGTCAAGGTGTCATTCTGTGGCGACAAGCCTACCAAGGCGAGGTGGTTGATTGCGCTGCAGAAGGTTGACGAGTACAAGTAGTGCCGTGCACTGCTCGAGGCTGTAGCCCGAGCTCGGCATGATGAACGACCGAAAGCGGCGGGGGAGTTGCACAAACCCATCATCACACCATCATCACATCCTCGTCCTCCTCCCCCTTCTCCTCCTCCTCCTCCTTCTCCTCCTCCCTCCCTCCTCCTCCTCCTCCTCCTCCTCCTCCTCCTCCTCCTTCCTCCTCCTCCTCCTCCTCCTCCTCCTCCTCCTCTCCTCCTCCCTCCTCCTCCTCCCTCCTCCTCCCTCCTCCTCCTCCTCCCTCCTCCTCCTCCTCCTCCTCCTCCTCCTCCTCCTCCCTCCTCCTCCCTCCTCCTCCCTCCTCCTCCTGCTCTCCCTCCCCCTCCTCCTGTTGCGCCCTGCTGCAGCTGCTGCTGCTGCTGCTGATCCTCCTCCTCCTCCTCAAGCCTTCTTGGTTCAATGCTGTATTTCCCCAGTCCAGATTTCTCTAGTGCTAATGTATGTTATGTTCGCGCGCGCTCAAGTTCTAGCTAGGCTTGATCGGCTAGCTCATGTAATCTCATTTGGGTCGCTTCTTGCATCCAGGGACTCCCTTGGAGGCCTGCCCAAGCCTCGGAATCGTATAGAGGAGGAAGTGCGGGAACGCAGAAACACTTACTTTCCTTTTTAGGTATTCAGCGATTTGGGGCCCTCAAAAGTTTCCTGGGTTCTTTTTTGGGAGGTGAGGGGGGTCTTAATTGTGGTCTGTTGTGCAAGAGTAGACCTGGGGCCAAACTTGAAAAACAAAAAAAGGAAGTGTGGGATGTCCCTTTTTTCCCAGTTCCTCGGCGCTGTTCGGCGCTGTTTTTTTTGTGCCTCGCGGGTTTTATTAGCCGGGCCCCTCAGGGGTGTGGGATCTTCCAGACCCCCTGAAGCTTCTGGAGGCCTCCTGGCGGCCTGGAGAGCCGCCAGAAGGGTGTCTCGGGCTGCGCGGGAGCGTGTTGGGCCGTTCTTTACGTTCTGGGGGCTCCTTGAGGTCGTCATGGGCTGTCCTTCGGCGTCTTGGGGTCTTCCTCCGGGAAGCTGGGAGGCGCGGTACTGGCCAGATGTCAGGGGATGTGTGGGACCCCCGAGTAGGAGTCCCACTTTGAAATAAAAAAAGGAATTGTGGGAATTCGTGTTTTGTTGTCTCGCTTTTTTCTTTCAAAATCCTCGATCTTCGAGGGCTGGAAGCGGGGAAACGTGAGAAGGCGAAACACATTAGAAAAACCATGGGGAATCAACGAGTTTACCCTCTTTGGGCTCTCTCGCGGGACGGCTCTCGCAGCTCTCTTGGGCTGTTCTTGGAGCCTCTTCGGGGTCTTTTTGGGGCCTCTCAGGGATCGGGGGTGTGTTGGGGGCCTCTGGGTGGTCCTGGAGGCCTCTCGGAGGTCTCTGGAAGCCTTCTGCTCCCGCTCTTGGGCCCATCTTGGGCCTGTTCTGGGGTGGTCTGGGGCTGTCTTGGGCGCCTCTTCGGCAATCTTGGAGCCTTCTTGGCCCGTCTTGGGGCCGTCCTGAGGGTCTCCCTCGTCGGGCCGTCCCGGGGCGCCTCTCGGACCTCTCTTGGGGTCTCTTGGAGGCCACCTGGGAGCCTCGAGAGCCGTTGGAAGGCTGACTTGGGCTGCTTGGGAGCGTCTTGGGCCATCCTTTCGCATTCTGGGGGCTCCTGGGAGGCGTCTTGGGCCCTCCTGGGGCGCTGTGGAAGCTCCCCGGAAAGGCCGGGGGAGCGGTACCGGGAGCGTCCCCGAGATGTGGCGGGGAGGTGTGGGACCCGGGGCCGGGGGGGCAGTATTCATTTATATTGTATAGAACCGTGGGCGCTCTTTCGTTTCTCGTTCTTATCGACGGCCTCCTCTTGCTTGGGATTATGCGGGGGGTTCGAGCTGTTCGGGGCCGGCGTGGGAAGATATTCAATTTGAAGTGGGCTGGCTTGAAATGTACGGGTCTCTTGTGAATCTTCCTGTTTGGGCCAGGTCTCTTGTGAATCTTCCTGTTTGGGCTGCCTTGAAGGCCTTGGGGCCCGCTTGGGCCCCTCTTGGGCTCTTCTTCGAAGTTGTGGGGCCGTCTCGAGCCTCGGAGCCATGTGAAGCTCTCCCGAAGCCATCCGAATGAGACGAGCGTGAGATTTACGGAATGTGGAGAAACCTGAATGGCTTTTGCGTTTGTGGCTCTCTGGGGTCATTTGGGAGGCCTTTGGGAGTTCCACTGGGGCATCTTGTGGCCCCTGGGGGCCGCCTTGAAACATCTTGGAGCGTCTTTGACCACTAAGGGACCATCTTGGCGGCCAGCGGGCGTCCTCCTGAACCAGCTCGGAACCCTCTTCAGGCCGAAAGAATCACCCAAAGACCCCAAAGCTGATCCCGGAGCCAAGGGGGGGCATATTGGGTTGCGACGGGGGGAGTTTGGGAAAAGTAGTGGGCCACCCCAGGGCCACCCCAGGTCCCCTCCCCCATGGGCGGTCCCGTCGTCTTCTTCTGTCGTCCGACGTCCGTCGTCCGTCCGCCCGCCATGTTGTTTCTCGATGATAGCTCTGCCGCGGGCATCTTCTCTCCCTTGCTCTGACTAGAAAGTGCCTAGGATGCAGCGGCCAGCGCTGTACATGAGCTGCTACCTTGGGCTGCAGCTCGCTGGATACTGCTGCGTGAAAGGCGCTGCTACCCTGGGCTGCAGCGCCACGAAAGATGGACATGCTTGGTTCGCGCATGAATTTCTGTCCTGAGTCCTGAATGTATGAGCATCTAACCCAAATCCAACATTCCCCGATTCCTTGGGGCCTTCGGAGACTCCGCGAAACCGTTAAGAAGCCGGGAGGCGCGGTTCTGGCCAGATGCCAGGGGATGTGTAGGACCCCCGAGTAGGAGTTCCTCTTTGATGAAAAAAGAACTATTGGAATCCCCTCTCTTTTTTCCCCAGAGTCCTCGATCTTTGAGGGTTGGAAGCGCGGGAAAACGTGAGAAGGCGAAATACATAGGAAAACCACTGGAAATCAACGAGTTTACCCTCTTTGGGCTCTCTCGGGACGGCTCTCGCAGCTCTCTTGGGCTGTTCTTGGAGCCTCTTCGGGGTCTTTTTGGGGCCTCTCAGGGATCGGGGGTGGGGTGAGTTGGGGGCCTCTGGGGGGTCCTGGAGGCCTCTCGGAGGTCTCTGAAAGCCTCCTGCTCCCGCTCTTGGGCCCATCTTGGGCCCGTTCTGGGGCTGTCTTGGGCGCCTCTTCGGCAATCTTGGAGCCTTCTTGGCCCGTCTTGGGGCCGTCCTGAGGGTCTCTTTGGTGGTCTTGGGGCGGTCTTGGGAAGCTCTTCGGCGTTGTTGCACCGTTGGAAGCTCGAAAACGCGAGAAGCCAAAAACATATAAAAAGCATTGAACATCTGCGACTTTGGCCTCTTCGGGCCGTCCCGTGACACCTGTCAGACCTCTCTTGGAGTCTCTTGGAGATCACCTGGGAGCTTCGAGAGCCGTCGGAAGGCTGACTTGGGCTGCTTGGGAGCGTCTTGGGCCATCCTTTGGCATTCTGGGGGCTCCTGGGGGGCGTCTTGGGTCCTCCTGGAGCGCTGTGGAGACGCCCCGGAAAGGCTGGGGGAGCGGTACCGGGAGCGTCCCCGAGATGTGGCGGGGAGGTGTGGGACCCGGGGCCGGGGGGGGGGGGCTGTATTTATTCAGATGTGTGTATATAATATGTGTATAT